CCATCATCTTGTCAAATTCCACATCTTCAGAAAGGCCTTCCTTGGCTTTTTTTTTAAAGATTTTTTTTTGATGTGGACCACTTTTAAAGTCTTTATTGAATTTGTTACAATATTGCTTCTGTTTTATGTTTTGGCTTTTTGGCTGCGAGGCATGTGGAATCTTAGCTCTGACCAGGGATCAAACCTGCACCTCCTGCATTGGAAGGTGAAGTCTTAACTGCTGGACCACCAGGGAAGTTGCCTTCCCTGGCTTTTTAAGGTTAAGTTGCCCCTCCCTCCACCCACCCCCCACCTCCCTGTAATTCTCTATTTCTTAACACTGTTTCATTTTCTTCATAGCACTTATTATTATCAGAGATTATCTTGTTTCCTTATTTACCATCTGTCTCCTTCTAAAATGTAAGCTTCTTGAGGCAGGAACCTTATCTGGCTTGTCCTCCTCTGCATTCCTAGCATTTAGAATGGTGCCTGGCATATAATAAGTGCTCAATAAATATTTGGCAAATGGGCAAATGAACAGGGCAGCCATGACTGTAGGACAGAGTTGAGTAAGCCAAAGGCCCACCATGGGGGAGGCACCAGCCCTGGGCTGGGGGAGGGAGTTGCTAGGCTTTTTGTCCTGTTTACTCTGATTCTCTGCGTGTCTCTCAGGCCAGACTGGGTCCTCTTTGAAGGCAGGCTCCAGGCACCTTGTAAGTAAAGATGATACTACAAATAATTAACAACTGGTACCATCGTGGCGTCCCCATCAGGACATGGGAGCCTGTTCTGGAGGCCTCTGTCTGGGCCAGACAGTCTCCCTTTAGTTGCAGGATCACAAGAAGGTTGTAGTGTGGACGTGCTCCAGCCCTGAGGACAGTATCTATTTATCAGTCAGGACAGAAGTAATATTTCAGCATTTTAACCACCAGTGCCCCTGCCTCACCTCAGGTGAGTGCAGATGAGCTTTAGTAGGCCCTGCGGAGTGCTGGTTTCAGCACTGTTGCAGGGGCTGCTAGGCTGGTTGGCACTTTTGTGGCCACCCAGGTTACCCCCAGCCCACCGCCCAACCCGCACCAAACATGCACATCTCTACAAGAGAAGAGAGGCCCCTAGGCAAAGAGCTGATCGGAGGCAGGGGAAGGACTTCAAGGCAGTGGGTGAGAACTCGGGTGACTTTCTGAGGGAGGGCAGGACAGCCATCGTAGCGTTTTGCAAGCTTTCTTGGCCAAGGTGGGGTGCTTTCTGTCACATCCTCCCTGCTCCTTCCTGCTAGGGGCTGATCTCTTCCCAGAGGCTCAGGGGTGGGACTCTCAGCTGGTCCCCCGTGGCTGCCAGGTCAGGCCCAGGCAGGTGAGGACACATGGGGAAGCACCCGTGATATTGGGTACTGGGTGAACTTTCCTTTGCTTCTGCCTCTACATTCCCCCCATTGCCACCCCCATCTCTCCACACCCCTAGGGATTCCCTGGAAGCTGAAGTGACTCAGGGATTCTTAGTCACCCCAACAGGAGGACCCTCTGGAAAATGTTTGTCATGGCAGGGAGTCATCCTGAGGAGACCCACAGCTGCTCCTGAGATAAGGGTGGAGACTGAGCAAATGGGAAGACGTGAGTGTGGACGTGTGGCTCAGAGCACAAGTTCTGCGTCAGGCCTGGTCAGGCAGGGGAGACTGCCCTTCAGGGGTTTCCTTAGAGGAGGTCCTGGTACAGAGGCAGGGGATACCCCCAAAGCCCTCTCCTGGAGGGAATGTCCCACGTAGCCAACGCGGGTCCTTCGCGGCATCAACAAGTGAAACAAGTAGCTGGGATCACTTCCAGCTCTTTCAAGCACGCTGTCCTGGATAGGAGTCAAGATCAAGAGGTCCGGGCCCGTGTCAGCCTCTGAGGTTCTGATTGGTTTGGGGGAGACCCAAGGGATCCAGGTCTTCTGGAAGGCCCCCTCAAAGGCTTTTCTGCGGTTGGGGGTTGCTTGGGAACACCAAAAGCCACCCTGGGGGCCACGTGCCAGACCTAAGGCTGGGGAAGAGGAAGCTGGAGCCGCAGATCCCAGCCAGCAGGGCTGAATGCCTGAGCGGGCAGGAA